CGGACACGCTTGGGGAGAGCCAGAGCCCGGCTCGGACACGCGTGGCGAGAGGGAGCGAGCCCGTCCCGGACACGCGTGGAGCGCTCCCGCCGGCGGCCCGAGGATCTCTATGCAAAGCCTGGGGGGTCCGCGGCCGGGGCGTCCCGCCCGCAGAATTGCACATGTGAAGTGGGACCGTGACTGAAACACAGAGGCCACCGCGGCGTGGGGTGCCGGCAAGCGTCGGCGGACGATTCGTGAAATAATCTATTTTGTTTACCTGCTGTATCGGATGGGAGTTTGCAGGAGAGCGGTACCGTGTTGGGGTTCTCCTGTTTGGTTGGTTTGTTTGTTTGGTTTTTTTAAAATCAGCTGTGAAAATGTTACAAATCTGCACAATTTTATAGGTGTGCGTGTGTGTGTGATTTCGGTTTTATTTTAATTTTTCTTTGGCGGGTGGTGGTTTTGTTCCGAGGGTTGTTTTATTATTTTTTTTTTTAGGTTGGCAATAACTGATTTTGATGACGAGCTCTCTAAAGTGCAAAGACTTCCTATGTGTGATGCCGGGCCAACAGCAGCCCTGTGTCTGTAGAGTGCCTTCAAAACTCAGCTGTTCCAGCCGGTGCCAACCTGTGAAAGCTCCACAGAATCCCATTATCTACTACTCCAAAAACTACTTAACAGTTTCCTTGCAGTAATCATACCGAACAAGCCAGGACAAAAGGGCCTATTGTTAGTGGAATTTATTTCTTATTTCCATCTGAGCCTTTTAACTGTAATTGCCATGTCTTGCAAGTTCGGCCTTCATTTACTTCAAATTTACAAGAATTTAGCCTTTTGGGATTTTGGGGGGGGTGGGGTTCCCCCCCCCCCTTTTTTTTTTTTTATATTATTCCTTTGGTTTTATTGTGGGATGTACCTCCAGCCAGCAAAGAAGGAAATCTTATCGTTGTGATGTACCAAGGTAATTCTAACAACTGTCATTTTAATTCCAGACGTGCATTTAAGAGATGTCTATCCATTTTAAGAATTTTAATACAAATGCTGTTTTTTAGAAAACAACTTTGTGCGCTTTTATGTATTACATGAAACACTAACGTTCCATAGGCTGTTATTCCCAATTTATGTCTTAAGAGAAGTGAAAGGTGTCGGGGGGGCTCCATTCAGGAGAGTGTTTAAGGAAGAAAAAAATACCGCTAGATCGCTAGTTTACCTAATATTTAGTCATTTTTAATACAGTTTTTCGTTTGTGTTTAGGTCCTGCCCCTATGTGATGCCAGCACGTGAGAGGAACGCTGTGGTCAGTAGGCAGCTTTAGGAAGGTAGTGTGGCTTTGATGCAAAAGGACTTGCAAGAGTAGGCCCTACTGGGAACAGCATGGTTTATCGGGCTAAAGTTCTAAAGGTCGATTATTTATAAAATTTAAGTTTTTAATCTCATTGCATTATAACTCTTTAAAATTATGCATCAGACCAGTATTGCTTTCCTGGTTTGCAGACAGGTTGGGGTGGGAGGAGAGCTGTACCTTCTGTCATTTGGAAGATCTGGGGAGTTTGTTTACCTCCGTTATCTTCCTCTTAGCCCCTTCTTTAAAGACTAGCACACACAACATGCAACTTCTTTTTAACTTTTTTTTTTTTTTTCTCACCTCTATCCCAAGAAGACTTGAAATTATCTCACCACCTGAAAGCAAAAGTTGAGCACTGATGTGTAAAGGGGTTTTCAATCAGGCCAAAACTAACTGCCATTATTCCTACTGTGAATCTGAGAATTTCTTCTATTTTAAGTGGGAAAACTTCCTGCTTCAGCACCGGAAGAACAGTGTTTAGTGTTAGTTTAATTGTATGTATTGAAATCCCAGTGATGGAAATTAAAATGATGGAATCAAAATGATAATGTTGTAGTTGAAAATGGGATACCGATTTTAGTGACACCCGGTATCTACTGAAAATTTGGAAAAATCTTATATACTTAAGTATTCAGCATATCTCTTCTCCTGAGCTCACATGGATCCTTCAAAACAGCGAGGACCTGTTGTGATACAGGCAGTCAGGTTGTATCGGTCAGACTGGTACAGTCACAGTTAAAAACACGGAGGGTTGGAGAAGGCGGCCCTAGGGACAGTCCGCAGCTTCTGCTTGGCGCCTTCAGGGAACACACAAATTGATCCAGACCCCCGTTTTTAAGTGACAATGGAAAACCTCTTTGCAGCTTGTCTTTCAGAAATTTCTAAAAATTAATTAGAAGCCCGCTCCTCGAGGACTTCCATGTTAGAGGGGCAGGGCAATAATGCTTATTAATAGTAAGGGTTTATTTTAACAAAAACCACTGCAGTGAAAGCGAAGAAAGCTTGACTGCCGCCATGTCTGCAGTTTTACAAACTTCACGTCTGAAGTTTTTTGAAAAATGCCATAAATTTACATCCTAGCTATTGCTATGGTTCACTTTTGCCTTAAGTTCAATGGGATCGTACAGTTTTTAGCGCTCAGCAGGCCTTGCGCCAGAGCAGTGTATTGGAAGCAACTTGTTCCACTTAATAGAAACAGACGTTTATTCTGTTCCCCCCAACAGATAGCAGATTCTTCATGTTTTCTAGTGCCTCCTGTTGCCCTACTGCCTGTGTTGTGATTGAGGAATGATGCAAAAATGGGTGTTTGTGGCACACAGTGGCACATAAAGTCCAGTTTTTCTCAGCCCAGCAGGGCAGCTGAAGGCAGCCCAGTAAGTCCTGGGTTACGCTGGGTTTTTTTGTAGATATACTCCAGTTCTTGCCAAAAAGATGTGTTCGTTAAACAGTGAAGGACTTAAGAAACCGTGGCATGGGTCTAATCAGTTTTGAAGGTATTTAGATGTTCAGTGTTCTCTACGACTTGGTGCGGACAGTACAAAAAGTAGAGCTCGGTAGTCCGAACTTCCAAATACTCTGAAGTGTTTTGGTGCTTGTTAAACATAGGCCTTGTCTATAAAGTAGAAAAACGTGATACTGCTTTAACTTGACTGAATAATGAAAGCTATATTAGCTTCTACACTCGAGGAAAATGTTGTATCAATATAAAGGTACTCTTTTATTCCTTTTCCCTGTGGGAATATGTTATACCCGTGTCAATACAAAGGTGGTATATAGCTCTTTTCACAGTGAGAATTACAAATATTTAATTGATTTGGAAGAAAAATGACATTCCCAGCCAAAGTGCTTCCTGACAGCGCAGAAATTGTGTAAACCAGGCCTTAGTTTAAGGCTGGTCTTATGGCCACATATTTTGCTGTACATAATGATTGTATTTTTAAAAATCCAAGCTTGTTCTGTTGCAAGAAAGCGTGTCTTTGAAATCCTGGTCTCTGTGATTGTAACCGTGCAGTATTCTCGACATCGTTTTCAATACAAGTGTGGTTCTTCTCAACGCGATGCTCAGGCTTTATTGATGCTTTCGGTTCTGGATGTTGAATTCTGCGGTGGTGGGATTCCTGGCGGTTCTGCTTCTCTCAAAAGAATGTACGGCAAGTTTTTTTGCAAAGGGCATTTTAAATAAAGGGCAGCTGGCTCTTTATGACGTCTTCCTTTGGATACTCATTGCGTGCAGGTGTTGTTCAGTATCAGATTTCCTTGAGGAGTGACAAAATGCAGAAACTTCCATTTTCTTTAAGAATTCTGTATGAAAAGGAGTGGCACGTGTGTTCTCTTGAATCTCCTCCCATTCAAATTCATGGACAACTCCCATGACTGTAAGCGGAATATCATTGGAGTTCTGCTGCTGCGAGACCCTCTCTCACCCTCCAGGTTTGTATCGCAGGCAGCCCACACACTCTTCTTGATGCACCTTCACTGTATCTTTGGGAACTATTATTTACAGTGCCCATTCATGTTCTGGTGAGATTTGAGACTTACTGTAGAAGCAAAAATGTCTGTGAGCTCTGTTCAAAGGTGAAATAGCTTTAAATAATGATCTTCATCGCTTATACTCTGCTCCTGCAGTGTTTATAGCCTCATGCAAAATGTGTGTGTGTTTAAAAAAAAAGATTCTCCTTCCTGTCACGCTCTTACAGCACGGTGCTCCAGAATGTTGTTTTTTTAGGAATCCAGCATCTGCCTGACTTCTAAAACTCGTTATTTGGGGCTGACAGTCTTTGGAAAACGTGTGCGTGGCAGATGAGAGTGATTCAATAGCAGATTTTTAGTTCAAACAGCCAAAGATGTTCAAGTGAGTTTTAGTGATAAGAAATGGAGTGGAAGTGCATTGCTGGGGCTGGGTGTGTTGGGGTTGGGGTTTTTTGTTATTTTGGGTTTTTAATTTGAGTAGACTAAGGGTTTGCTAATCGGTAATCGAGAATCTCACTGTATTTCCCAAGTAAGACTCATTGTGTATGTGCATGTGTGTATTCTGACCCCACTGGGGTTGGAATTGAAATTCTTGCCCTTACCACAGATGATCTCAACCTCTGATCTCAGTTCTGCCTGTAGCCAGTGTCACGCTGAAGAAAACGCCCAGTGAAACCCGAACTGGCCGACCGATAGTGGGATAGAGCAGAGACACTCACACGGAGAAAGTTTATCAACAGCCATTAAAATTTCCCTATAGCTCTTTCAAATTTCTGGAAGGGTATGACTGCTCTAATGCACATCAGGTGCTGCCAGAGCACAGTGATGACAGTAGATGACATACCGTGCATAAAGCAAATACTATGCATAAATACTGAATCTGCAATATCTAAGGTCTTAAATCCTATATAAACCACTAAAAATTAGGAGTCGGTTAAGCAAAACGTGTAAGTTGCTCAAATAAGCCTTAAAATATTGGAAGCAGCTGTTCTGTAATGACTTTATTTTATTTTGGCAGTCTGTGTGTCTGTTGGAGGTTTGGGCAAAGAGGAGACTAAGTGATGAAGAATCCATAGCTTTGTTTCGGTAATCCTCGACAGAGAGGTATTTTTAGGAAAATGCTGTCTAACATGTAACTTCAGCTTTAATGATTCAAAACCCATTTATTTCTACCAAGTTCTTTAAGGGAACATTACACAAAGTGCCTAGTTAATAGATCTGATGTCCAGGTAACAGACTGATCCCAGAAGTCTCTCCGCTGCTCGATTGACGGATGGAGATTGCGCAAGAAGTGCTGCGGCACCTGGACTGATGAGAATGGCAGTGCTAAACTTCTTGCCTTTTGACGTAGTCCTGTTACCCTGCTGTACTGTGATGCTGGGATGGAAGGGGATGTTTGCGGTTGGTTTTGAGCATGGTTGGAAATGGACTTCTGGGTGAAAAACTAATCTGAAATGGAAGTCGTCCTGGGTTGTTTTGTTGGGTTTTTTTTTGAATTGGGTATTGAAAAAGGTACAGGTCAGCGTTTGTGTTTGTATTCCCTTTCCACTTTCTCATTTATAGATATATTCATCTAATGCTTTGTTTCTGCAGTGTTACTACTGTTAGCCCAATTCAAACGATTCGGATGAATACTTACAAATCCAAGTTTCTGTGTTAGAGAAGGAACTGCAGGTAAGGCAGTAAGCACTGAGCCACCATTGAGTATTTGCATCTGCTGGGTTTTTAGTAGGTAGGAGGTTAAGGTGTGGAGCCTGATGTGGGTATCTCAAGTCTCATTCTAGCTGTTGGGAGTGATCCGCCTAAAAGTGTTGCCGAGAAACATGACTTGGTACCCTTGTGATGGCATTTGTTCTGAGGGTTGAGAACACACACAAGAATAAGATGCGCTTACTGCGGAATTACTGTGAGTTGTATCATTTCCTTGTCTTGCCAAGGGATGATAAAACTGGTGGTGTTCCTTCCAGCCCTGCTGTCAGCAGTCCTGAGGTGGGGAGGTGTTATGCGTTCCTGATGGGAGAGATGATTTAAGTTCCTTTCCATCTTGCTGCCTCTAAGTCACTTACTGCATCTGTGACGGAGTTAGAAATGGAAAGGAGGGAGCAAGGAGATGTTTCTGACTTGGAGAGCTGTAAGAGGGGTGTCTAGCTCAGCCTCTCCCAACGCCATGGCCCTACTTCAGCACTTTCCAGCTTCAGCACTGATTCAGCATGTTTCCAGCAAACACTGAAAGCTCTCTACTCCTCGGTTTCTCCAACTCTGTATTTTGGTGAAGTGTTGATTTCCATGCAGATGAACCGAATTCGCACGAGCGTTTGGGTCTGGAATCGCAGCACCAAATGAAGTAAAGGAAGAAGATTGTGAGGAGGAGGTTGAGGACACAAGAAAGTGTGCAGAAAGGATGCTGTCACTTAAGAGTATGTGTCTTTTTTTCCTCTAAGACAGAGCTAAATATTGGAAGCGGGTTTTTGAATGTTAAGTGTCTAGCAGAAGTCTTGGTTTAACCAAGCCTTAGGCTTAGATCAGAAAAGATACTTAAAAGCCCTTTGAGTTGGAGATGCGGTACTTGAATGATGGTAGAGAATTATCATTGCAATTTTTCACTGACCTCGATTTGTTTAAATATTCTGAGATTTATTTATTATTGTGATAGTTGTCACTAGGTAGAGGATGTGTTTAAATACGATTTAATATTTGTATTAGCTTAGTACTGTAAAGATCTCCATGTTGCAGGGATTGATAGACGCGGTAGGCACAAAGTGAAGGTCTGTTTACTTACTGAAGGCCTTATCGGAGGTAAAGAATCAAAAGATTCAGGCTTCTGTTTTCAAAAATGATGATGATGCAAATAAGAGTGCTTAATGTAACTTTTTGAATTTACGGATGACTTCTCGTTGCTCAGAGACAGCCTTCTACACTTACCCCTGCTCTTCCCCGCTGTGCGACTAGCGGTGCCGTTGCACGTTTTTGCCTATAGTGAGAAAAACTGTGCGATCCTTCTGCTGCCACGGGTGTTTGTCAGACACGGGCTGCCTTCATGACTTCGTTGCTCACTTGGAGCTCTGGCATTCTTCCTCTGGTGGGCTGCCTGGGGGAGGAGGGAGCCCAGATGACGCAGTGATAACGAAGTGACTGCTTATCAGAACCCAGGGACGGAAGGCTGGCTGGCGTCTGAGCGTTTGCGAGGGCGTACCCGTTGTCGGAGCTGTACCTGGAACCGAGCATCTGTGCAATACCTGCAGCTCCTCGCTCTTGCTGCAGCTCTCGCCTGCCGTGGGTGCCCCTGCTCTGGCAGGGGGCTGGACGAGACGATCTCCAGAGGTCCCTTCCAACCCTGACCAGTCTGTGATTCAGCGTTAGGTTTGTTCTGGGAAAGCAGAACCAGAGGACCGTTTCGTGCCGGGTGAGCTGAGAGCGTACAGCCACGGCTAACGTCGAGCCGTGGTGTCCAGCCCGCTCGGAGGCAAACAGCCGGGTATCTTGAGGAAGAAGTGCGTGTCTTGCTTGTCCAAAAAGGTAGTTTGAAAGATAAGTCTTCTGCACATACCCTGAAAATACTTTCCGTAGATGCATAAAACAGATACATTTTAGAGGTCAAAACAGCGAATCTTTGTGTTTCCTGAGAAACACCCAATGTGACTTCTGTTTATGTTCCTCTGCTGGATCGCAGTTTCTTCCCCTTGCGCACCGCCCCGATGCAGCCATGGGGTGTGCCGCTTCTGTGAGGGATCAGAAATTGAAGGCGTTTGGTGGTTTCCACATCTGTAACAACAGCAAGTTTGGGGCGTTATTGCACATACCTGTCCGTGACATTCAGTGTGGTAAACGATGCTCCTCCCCTGCGTTTTTATGAGGAAGATACAAGAGATGAAGAAGTAGCATCGTAGGGCGAGTAAGGTACTGGCGGTGGAGGACTGTGGTGTGGGTGTGCGGTGTGAGACTGGAAGCAGGACACACGTTGCCAGGTTCTCTGAACGCCAGACGGGATTTGTGTGGAAAGGCGGGAAGCAGGATGTCTTGCAGGGGGAGTTTGGGAGAAGACAGGCTGAATTTTGCTGTTTCAGGTATAAAGAAACATCATTCTGTGCGTGTATATCGTGGATATTTTTCTTTTTCCCCTCTATGCTGCTAAGCAGATTGGGAAGCGCGAAGAAAGTTTGCACAATGAACCTGTTATCCACCACGGATGATTCTGATGTTCTAAGTTTATATTAGAATTCATAACTCCCCTACACCACTAATCGCCAAATTCTCTTAAACTGTGTGGGACTTTGTAATGGTGATGGTTACAACGTGACTCAAGGTACTTGGGAGCCATATGTATTTAAGGATGAGATTAGCAATAATTTTATTCCTTGAATGAATGGCAGTAATATTGCGTACCTCAATTTAGTATCAGGAGTTTGCTGCCAAGTTTACTTGATGATTAACAAAGTTAAGATGAAAGCATGCTAATGAAGTACTTGAGTAATTAAATTGCTGATGTTTGAGATCCTGATTTCCCTCCTTTTTGGAATACTCTGCCGCGTTCCAGATTGGCTGTCTTATTTTCTGCTGGGTTTCTTGTTTCAAATACTGTGTTTGCTTTAGTGTGGGTTTTGTTTTCTCTTCGGTTGGTGGATCTTTTGGGTTTTCCTTTAATTAAAGGAAAAAATAGAGAGAGGAGATTCACATTCGAATTGCTGTATAGCAGAAGCTGCCTAGATTCCAGAAATATGTGCTATGCCCTCCACGTATTTTTGCAATAAAAACAAGTTTAAGGAGAACACTGCATGTTCAAGTCATTTCCAAGGCCTGGGCTCTCAGCAGAGAAATGCTTGAAAACGCTTATTTACCGGAGAACCGGGTCAGCCTGGGAGGGAATGAGAGTGTTCGCAGATACTTTGATATTTATTCACTTACGTTGTTACTATACTTCACCTCCGTAGCGAGAGTGAAAGTTACAGACTTCTGAGCATAAATATTTAAGCATAGGTACAAAGTTGTGTCTGGTATGCACAACTGGGGAAACCTCCACCGTTTTCTCCTGGGAGCATAGAAAACCAGGCATTGGGTGCCTGCGCTCAATCAACATCAGAGCAGCAGCGTAGAAACTTAGGTACGTATTTCTTTAGCCAATTGTAAGTGCCTAAAAAGAGTTTTCTTGTTTCTTTTCAAGCGTTTTTGACCTGGCAGAAGTTAATTTTCAGCATTGCTAAACCAGAAAATGACTGTGGTTATTAAAGGCGTGCGATGTGCAGCCTTTTGCCAGGCGGGGGGATGGCAACCTGTCGAACTCGCCCGGAGTGTTTGTGGTCAGTGCTGTCTGTGAACACAGCTTCTGCCTCGTGTCTTACCTCTGTATTCTCCTCATAAGGGAATGGAAACCAAACCCGTCCAGACCAACATACTGCGAGTTCAAGGGTGGATATTCTTGGGTTCTTTACAGACTTTATGATAAATGGGAATTGCTCGATGTGCATCTGGTCGCGGGTTGTTTGAGGTGTGTGTAAGACACTGGCTTCCTCCGTCATCGCTCGGGGTTTGTCAGCACTTAGAGCAGTTAGCAGAAATTAATTGATGGGTAACTGGAGTTCGTTTGGCACCCGAGTTTGTGCATACTGATATGAAGACATAAACTGTATTATTCCGGGATGTAAACAAACTCCAAACAAATGTGTTGGGTATCCTAATTGCCTACAGTAGAATTTTTAATATAACTTCATGAATGAAGTTGTAGTTGTGTACTGACCTACACCGTTAGGAATCTGAATTTGACTTATTCTCTGATTCTATAAATGTGCATATGCTGAATTCCCTGTTCTTTTGTACCCCTGTTGAAATCAGAGCCTTATTTAAGCGAATGAGAGCAGAATTTAACCCCCGTCTGCATTTTAAATATTTCACATGCACCTAGCAGTGTGATCTTTGTCCTTTTTTAAAGCTGGAATTTCATTTAAACAAAAGCCTTCCCCTGTGCATGTAGTTGGATGTTCAGATGTCTAAAATGTAGTTTATTAGGGGGGTTTGGGTTTGTTTGGTTTTGGTGGTGTTTTTTTGGGGGGGGGTGTTTCTTGTCCTGAAGTGATACTGGGTTTATGTAAATGGTGATTGCCATCTTGGAATGGCAATAGGTCTAATTTTTTTTTAATTATTATTCTTATTTTATACAGTTGTTTCTTCCCGTTCTCTCAGGAGTTTATAGTATGTTGTGTTATGGTAGTGAGTTAGGTTTGTTCATAGTCATCGTTCCCAGCCACTGGACAACCTTTTACCCTTGGAGCGTTGTCCCGTGGCCCCGATGCGCGGGAGCGGGGAAGCCGCGCGCTGGCTGGCGGCGAGGCTGGGACACGTGCAGTGCCAGAGCTCTCCCAGACCCGGTCTGCACTGAACAGCATTTTTCCTCTGAAAATGACAGAAGGACGCTTTTCCCTGTGCTGCCCAGAGGGCGTTGAGACGGGCTTAGGGGCACAGCGGTTTGTTTGCACGGCTGATGGCATACATCGACGGTAACAGTAAAAGTTCACTTTGGTGACAATTTGAAGAAGAGACAAGAAAAAAAAAAGGAGGAGAAGAAAAAAACAAACAGAGATAAGGTGGAGATCTTGCAGTAGCGGGGAGCCAGGAAGAGAAGCACCTTGGGTTCTTTGCAGGTAAAGGTCCTGCTCGGGGTGTGCTCTCCGGTGCAGAAAGCAGCCGCCGGCAATGCTGTTTCCATGTGGCTCTCCGGTTTTCCAGGGCCGCTCAGGCTCCCCGTGGGTTGCTCCTGTTCCGCATGCTCCCAGTGCTGGCGGGAGCACGCCCTGGGCAGGGGCAGGGGTTGTCTGCCACTGTCATGCGCGCTGGGCGGTGATGGGCACGCTG